CCTGGTCAACGTGGTGAAACCCCCATCTCTATTAAAAAAAGAAAGAAAATTATTTTAAAATAAAATTAGGGATTCATTGTCAAGCCTCTTTTCTATATTCTCAGGTTTTGATGGTACAGTCCAGGTCTATGATGCCACATCTTGGAATGGAATGCAGAGCCAAGTAGAACCTCTCTTCACTCACAGAGGTCACGTCTTCCTAGATGGAAATGGGACGGACCGTGCTCCTTTGGTCACCACCCACACCTGGCACCCCTGCAGACCAAGGACTTTGTTATCAGCAACAAATGATGCCTCTTTGCATGTGTGGGATTGGGTGGACCTTTGTGCCCCCTGCTGACACCAGCATCTTTCCATCCAGGCCTCTAGAAAGGGGAGGAGCTGCTGTAGTAGCAAGGCTACTGATGTAGGACTCAAGTGACTGCCAGTCCCTGTTACCAGCTGTGTGGCCTTGGGCAAGTACACCAGCGTCACTTAGCCTCAGGTTCCTTATCTGTAAAATGAGGATAGTAAGAACTACCTCGTAGTGATATTGTGAAGGTTAGAAGAAATGCATGGCGTAACTACTTGGCAGCTACTGTTACATCTGGGACTGTAAAATGGCAGTGTTTTGTCCCTGTCTTCACACTAGTATAGGGAGAATTGAAAGAGCTAACAAACATGCTTTGTGAATTTTTTTAAAGAAAAAAATGTAGAGGGGCCAATAAACATAAAAAAATCCCAGCCCTAGTAGCAATTAAGGAAATAGCAAAACAAGATTTCTGCTCGTCTTGAGTGGTTCTCATGGGTACACAGGTGCACTTTCCCACACTTGTCCCCCCAAGTGACTAGGTTCAAGGGACATTTGCTTTTGGTGGCCCCACGAACATTTCCTTTTGAGGGCCCATAGTGAATATTAAAGTGTGCTGGACATGGTGGCTCGTACCTGTAATCCCAGCACTTTTGGAGGCTGAGGTGGGCAGACTGCTTGAGCTGAGGAGTTTGAGACCAGCCTGGGCAACATAGCAAGATCCCGTCCCTTAAAAAAAAAAAAAAAATTGGCTGGGCATGGTGGCTCATGCCTGTAATCCCAGCAATGTAGGCAGCCAAGAAAGGTGGATTACTTGAGTCCAAGAGTTCGAGACCAGACTGAGCAACATGGTGAAACCCTGTCTCTACTAAAAATAGAAAAATTAGCTGGGTGTGGTGGTGTGAGCCTGTAGTCCCAGCTACTCAAGAGGCTGAGGTGGGAGGATTGCCTGAGCCTGGCAGGTGGAGTTTGCAGTGAGCTGTGATCATGCCACTGTATTCCAGCCTGGGCAACAGAGTGAGACCCTGTCACATACACACACAATAGGTGATAAATAAGTTGTTCACTCTGTCAGCATCTATTAAGCCCTTCCCATGCGCAACACTAACTACATGCTAGAAATACATAAATGAGAGGCTTCCTAAGGTGGTTGAATTTTTTTTTTTTTTTTTGGTAGAAATGGAGTCTTGCTCTGTCACCCAGGCTTGCGTGCAGTGGCGTGATCTCGGCTCACTGCAACCTCCACCTCCTGGGTTCAAGCAATTCTCCTGCCTTAGCCTCCCAAATAGCTGGGACTACAGGTGCACACTGCCACACCCAGCTAATTTCTTTTGTATTTCAGTAGAGACAGGGTTTCACCGTGTTGCCGAGGCTGGTCTCAAACTCTTGAGCTCAGGCAATCCACCCACCTTGGCCTCCCAAAGTGCTAGGATAACAGGTGTGAGCCACCGTGCCCGACCAAAGGTAATTCTTAAAGAAAAGAGGTCGGGTGCGGTGGCTCAAGCCTGTAATCCCAGCACTTTGGGAGGCCGAGACGGGCGGATCATGAGGTCAGGAGATCAAGACCAGCCTGGCTAACATGGTGAAACCCCGTCTCTACTAAAAAATACAAAAAAACTAGCCAGGCGAGGTGGCGGGCGCCTGTAGTCCCAGCTACTCGGGAGGCTGAGGCAGGAGAATGGCGTAAACCCGGGAGGCGGAGCTTGCAGTGAGCTGAGATCCGGCCACTGCACTCCAGCCTGGGCCACAGAGCCAGACTCCCTCTCAAAAAAAAAAAAAAAAAAGAAAAAAAGAATGTCATGCCACAGCCCATCAGTGACTTTTGACAGATATTTGGGTAAGTTCTTCTCTTTTCCAAAAACACGACTCATGACTTAATCATATTTCATGAATCTAATTGGTATACTCATAGTATGTGTAAATTGTGCTTTGTTTTGCAATTCTAGAAAGTTGTGGGAAAATATTTTAGTTTAAACACACAAAAAGAACCATTTTCAGAGGTAGAAACTGTGTTCCATTTATTTCTAAATCCCATTTGTTCTGTACATGAGTCCTTCCAGGGTCTCTCTTCGGCTTTTAAAGACAGGCTCAAATCCACAGGAACCCGTTGGCCTACACATAAGACTCTTCCCCAGGATCTGGAGACCCCAGCCCTGAGGACACCTGAGCATAGACAGGAACTAGTGCGCTTGAAGAAGGTGATAGAAAGGTAAGCTCTCCAACTAGGACACTTCTTAATGCCATGGTTCCTAGTTACTGCTCTGGACATATACAGAAAAGGCTTTATGTACTTCATTATTCTGGCTCACAACCTTCTAGACCCAGTCTCACATTTTTAGGATACAGTATGAGCTGTAAGGCTCTACTGCAAGCGCTGTTGCGCATTTAAAGCAATCCTGCCACACAAATTCTACTTAGATTGAATTGTAAAATTGCTGGTTTTGTAGACCAAAACAGCAATCTTGTAAGGTTCAACCCAATACATTGAGAGGAGGAGTAAGTTATGGTTAAAAAGCCAACCTCTAGTGTTGGAACTATTCTCCTTTCCCTTCCTCCAAAGGATTAAGTATATAGAATGCTTTCCTCTCAATTGATGCCAAGTCAATCCTAAGAAAAGGCATTTGGGGAAATGTAGACGTGTTCTGAGCCCCAGTCCTCTCAGAGAACAATAGAAGACCTTTATAATTTCCTTTAGTTAATAAACCCATGTCTAGCTGCCAGGTGCTTAGAACAAACAGCCCACAGCTGACCCAACCATCATTAACGTCATCAGTGCAGTAGTGCAGAGCCGCCTCTGTCCTTGAGGGAGGGTCTCAGAGACAAGAATCTCACCCCATTGCCAAACTGAAAGTTAAGGCACAGAATCACAGTGAAGACTCACTGAGATGGTGACATAATCAAATTCAGAACTAGTCTCTGAATGGAAACTGACTTGTCTCAACAGCACAAATAAGAAAACCCTGACTGCTATTTCATAAGCCAAGTGAGTGTTTAGTGAGAGAAAAAAAAGTCTGTCAGACTGAAATCTTAATTTTCTCTTTATCTCACGTGAGTGATGTGGTAGAGAATCAAGGGCAAGACAAACCCTTTCTTGGGATGGATTTCCTACTGTTTTCAGCCTCAATGCTTTAAAAACATTTCTTCTACATTTAGGGAACATTTAGAGTCTCCCATGTGGGTTCTCTGATGTGCACTAAAATGTGAACTATTGTTGAATCACCTCCCACATTCACTACATTCATAGGGGTTTTTTTTTTTTTTTTTTTTTTTTTTTTTGAGAAGGAGTCTTGCTCTGTCACCAGGTTGGGATGCAGTGGTACGATCTCGGCTCACTATAACCTACGACTTCCTGGTTCAAGCAATTCTCCTGCCTCAGCCTCCCAAGTAGCTGTAATTACAGGCACACACCACCACGTCTGGCTAATTTTTGTATTTTTGGTAGAGACGGGGTTTCACCATGTTGGTCAGAATGGTGTTAATCTCCTGACCTTGCAATTCACCCACCTTGGCCTCCCAAAGTGCTGGGATTACAGGTGTGAGCCACCACACCCAGCCAGGGGTTTTCTCCTGTGTGAATTTGCTGCTGTATAATGAGACTTGAGCTCTGATTAAAGCTTTTCCCACATTCCCCGCATTTACAGGGTCTCCAGTGTGAATTCATAGGTGGGTAATGAGGTTTGAGTGGTCACTGAAACCTTTCCTACATTCCAGATAGGGTTTCTCTCCTGTGTGGATCCTTTGATGGCTGGTGGGGGTGGAGCTCTTTCTGAACTTTTTTGCACACTCTGGGCACTGGAAGGGTTTCTCACCAGTGTGCATTCGCCAGTGTACACTGAGGTGTGAGCTACTGATGAAACTTTTTCCACACTCACTACACTTATGAGGTTTCTCTCCTGTATGGGTTCTCTGGTGCGTAATGAGGCTTGAGCTCTGGGTAAAGCTCTTCCAGCACTCTCCACATTTGTAGGGCTTCTCCACAGTGTGGGTTCTCTAGTGTGCTGTAAGGTTAGAATGATCACTGAAGCCTTTCCCACATTCAAAGTACCCAGATTTATCAGATCCCTTAAATTCCAACAAAATGACAGCCCCACCAGGGAGGGGAAGGTCATCTTAAGCATGAGAAATTCATCCCTCTAATAATCTAAGGTTGACTCTAGTTTTAGTTTGGGGTTTTCCATGTTTATTTTTTCTATTAACCAGGCTAAGTGATAATTAATTGTAGTTAAAATTCAGGTCAAGCATGGTGGTTCATGCCTGTAATCCCAGTACTTTGGGAGGCTGCGGTGGGAGGATGGCTTGAGTCCAGGAGGACTTCGAGATCAGCCTGGGCAACATGGTGAGCCCCTGTCTCTAAAAAACAGAAAAGAAAAAGAAAAAGATTTTTATTAAAAAAACCTAAATAAATTCAAATAGAAATTTAAAGATAGACCAGGCACAGTGGCTTAGACCTGTAATCCCAGCACTTTGTGGGGGCCAAGGCGGGTGGATCACCTGAGGTTAGTAGTGCAAGACCAGCCTGGCCAACATGGTGAAACCCTGTCTCTACTAAAAATACAAAAATTAGACAGGCATGGTGGTGGCACACCTATAATCCCCGCTACTCGGGAGGGTGAGGCAGGAGAATTGCTTGAACCTGGGAGGTAAAGGCTGCAGTGAACCAAGATTGTGCCACTGCACTCCAGCCTGGGTGACAGAGTGAGACTCCGTCTCAAAAAAAAAAAAAAAAAAAAAACAGAAACAGAAATTTAAAGATAAAATCATAAACACTCATAATTCAGTTATACCTTTTTTCAAGGTAATTAAAGTTCAAACTTAGGGGAACAGGCTTTCCTGGGTGCCACCTACTTCTCTGTTCTTTTCCCAACTCCTGTGCTTTCCACACCACAGAACAGTAAACTGGGAGCACTGAGCACCTGGTTCCCCTCTCAGCCCTTGCCCAGTGCTGGCGTGTCCGAGTTTAGAATCCCAGGGCTGACTTTGTTGGTGGAATGCTAGCTCCTACTCATTTCCCACCTGCGCTGGACGTTTTCTGAATCTCCTTGAAGTCCCGGAGAACTTCATTCCAAAGCTCTTCACTTTTCTGCAGCCTTGTGACCCCATCTGGCTGGGGAACTGGAAGTCCTGCTCAAGGAAAAGCAGGAGGGGACATCATCATAATTATAATGATAATAATGAAAACTAACATTTGCCGAGTGCTAATACTGTGTCAGGATCCTCATAATAGCCCAAGGAGGTAGAAACCATCATATGTCCACTGTCCAGATGAGAAAATGGAGGCTAAGGGTGTTTAACGAGGTTGCCCAAGAACAACAAGCCTTTTAAATGGCAGACTGTTGTATATAATCTATGCAGTGTTCACATCCATGGAACACTTTATTTTAAATTATTTTAATAATAACATTATTATTTTTCAACTGAGTCTGGGTCTCACTCTGTTGCCCAGGCTGGAATGCAGTGGCATGATCACAACTCACTGCAGCCTCCAACTCCCGGGCTCAAGTGATTCTCCTGCCCCAGCCTCCCGAGCAGCTGGGACTACAGGCATGCGCCACCATGCCTGGCTTATAGGGCACTTTAGATAGAAACAAATGACTGGAACTTTTAACTCCTACCTTTCTCTCCTCTGTTCCTGTAATGTTGTTACTAAAGGCAGGAAGGGTGACTCCTTGGTTATAGGCAGAGCAAGAGCCTCAAACTGGTCTTTGTGAGCCACCCTGGACTACTGGTTCAGTAGAGGGTTGAGTCAAGCAATATTTGAGGACAGGATATAAACAGTATTCCCTTAAAGTTGCCACCAATTTTTCCCCCAATGAGGCCATTCCAGACCTAAATTAGTCATAGCAGAGCCAGGACAATAATCACATCTCCTGATTCTGAGCCTGAATGCTTCCCACAGGACTGCATTGCTCCCACTGCTCTGAGGTCCACTGTGGGGGAGAGTTGCCACTGGGATTCTACCTCAAGGCCTGGGTACCAAGGCTCCAGGATTCTTCTTGAGACTCCACTACTTCATTACCATCCCACCACATCTTCTAGTGCTATGCCCTGGTTCCCTTTGGAATCCTCTCAATCCTGAAGGCGGCCTCCTACCACCTCTAAGGCATCAAAGGTGTTAGCAAGTGCCCAAAGACTCATCAGGGCATCCATCTCATCATAGAAGGCACTGGTGCCTGGTGTGTAGGTGCTCCTGGCTTTGCAGTAGTTGGTCAGGAGGTTTTTGAACCGATAGCAACATTGCTCCAGGGTTCACATGAAGCCATGCTCTTGTAGCTGCTCAGCCATAATCTGGTACACCTGGTGGTTTCAATGGCCGATGTGGAGTTTTTCATGGATCCAGGCCTCTGAGAATTCCCAGAAAAATCTTGGTTTCCTTGTATCCCCAGTGTACTTTTGCTACCTTCTCATCCTCCAGGGCCTGCCACTCCAGCTAGCTCCAGGTCTTGGCTTTCTCCAGATTAGCACCTGGCCAGACTTGACTCTCACCCCAGCCACTGAGCAGTCTTTCATATTCTCCTTTTCTCCAGAATGTGAAGATGTAGACTCTGCGGGTTTTCCTCCTACTCCATGTGGGAGTTCACTTTGGGCCTATGGATTGGAAAATCTGTTTGCAGGCACACAAAAGGGAGATGTGATGGGTTTCTCCAGAATGTGAAGATCTAGACTCTGTGGGTTTTCCTCCTACTCCATGTGGGAGTTCATTTTGGGCCTATGGATTGGAAAATCTGTTTGCAGGCACACAAAAGGGAGATGTAATCGTTTGGTAAATCTAATTCCAACCATTTTATGTGCCAGGGAGAAGAGAGAGTCATTTTTTTTTTTTTTGAGATAGAGTCTCGCTGTGACACCCAAGCTGGGGTGCAATGCACAATCTCGGCTCACTGCAACCTCCGTCTCCTGGATTCAAGCAATTCTCCAGCCTCAGCCTCTCGAGTAGCTGGGATTACAGGTACGCGATGTCATGCCTGGCTAATTTTTGTATTTTTAGTAGAGACAGGGTTTCACCATGTTGGCCAGGCTGGTCTTGAACTCCTGATCTTAGGTGATCCGCCTGCCTCAGCCTCCCAAAGTGCTGGGATTACAGGCATGAACCACCGGCCCAGCTGATAGTAATTTTTTTTTTTTTTAAGTCTGAGGGGGTTCTTAGGAAAGCTCAGTGAAAAGAACAATTAGAAAAAAAATTCAGGCCCAAATGCGCAACTATATATCTGTGTTCACCTATCTTAAATAAAATTCAGACACATACCTAAACTGACCATCTCCCTAAAATGAGCTTTCCTTTCTGGGTCAAGAAACTCATCCTTGGTGAAACTGACTATGGTATTGGCTTTCTTTTGAGTAAGATTTAAGGAAAAAATAGATTTGAAACATTCAACCCAGGGGGAAAGGGTGGGAGCAAGGGGATGAGGGATAAAAGACTACACACTGGGTACAGACTGAGGGATAAAAGACTGCACATTGGGGTCCCGCGGTGGCTCAGGCCTGTAATCCCCGCACTTTGAGAGGCTGAGGCAGGCAGATCACTTAAGATCAGGAGTTCAAGACCAGCCTTGCCAACATGGTGAAACCCCATCTCTACTAAAAAAAATACAAAAATTAGCTGGGCGTGGTGGCACATCTCTGTAATCCCAGCTACTCGGGAGGCTGAAGCAGGAGAATCACTTGAACCCGGGAGGCAGACATTGCAGTGAGCCAAGATTGTACCACTCCACTCCAGCCTGGGTGATGGAGTGCGACTCAGTCTCAAACAAAAAGAAAAAAAAAAAGACTACACATTGGGTACAGACTTGATGGATAAAAAAGACTACCCTTGGGTGATGGGTGCACCAAAATCTCAGAAGTCACCACTGAACTTTTCCACGTACTCAAACATCACTTGTTCCCCAAAAACTACTGAAATAAAAGTTTAAAAAAAAAAATAAGAACAGACATAGGGGAAAAGAAAAAAAAATTCAACCTGAAAAACGTCTGGAGTACAGAAACTCTATAGCTAACTTTGACTATGGGAAAAAAAAAAAAAAAGGCATTCTTACCCAGTATGACCTCATTTTCAGAATTCTGCTGAGTTATTTCTAGGTGGTTCTTCTGTCCAGATTCTGGATCCCTCCATGCTCCTAGGAGATATATACAGCCGAATCACCAGGTGTGGCTAACTCCTGAGGAAACATAACACTCCCTCTCAAACACATGGCCTCGGAACAAAATGCCTCTCTAATGCCTGAGTCAGGGCAAGTGACAAAACAGAAGAAACAAAACAGTGATTATTTTAGCTCTTAAATGCAATAAAGGGGGCAGGAGGAGAGAGAGAAAAGAAACAAGCTGACATTTATTAAACACCTATACACTGAGCCAGAAGCTTCTCAGACTTGCCCAGAGTTACACAGCGAGTCCAGGGTGTGGCTGGGAATTCAACTCAAGGCTGTTGGACTCTGAAGCTTTTGGTTTTTGTTTTTTTTCCTCCACTACACAATACTGCATGCCATGTGAGCAATATCCCGACACAGAATGAAGTAATGAGTATCTTTAAGGCAAACAAGCACATCACTAGAATCTAATGATTTCAGGGTCAAAGAAAAGAATAATTTTAATATAATCCCTCATTACCACAGCCGTGGCACTGGCCTCATATGGGTAAGGAGATTTGGGCAAACTTTTGCAGGCTGATGAAATTTTGGAGCCTAAATTTTAAAGTTACTGGGCCTCCCTGCTGGGTAAAATTCTTTCGGAATTTCTGAGTGGCTTTAGTTGGTTGCAGGAGCCCCACTCTGGTAGTAAAAGGTGACCTGAAGGGGGTTGGGGGCTAGGGGAGGGAGAGCATTAGAAGAAATACCTAATGTAGACGATGGGTTGATGGGTGCAGCAAACCACCATGACACGTATATACCTACGTAACAAACCTGCACATTCTGCACATGTACCCCAAAACTTAAAAGTATAATTAAAACCATAGAGAAAAATTAAAAAATATATAATCTGTAAAGACAAATGACTTAATAGTTTTCTCAAAAGGAGAAAACTGAGCTGTGCCTCAAGAGTTATATTTCTATTTTAAAAAAAAGAGAGAGAAAATGTGACCTGTATAAGAGAAATGGCTGACTCACCTCGCCACCCTGCTCTTCTCTGCAGGAATTCTGAGCCAGAAGATCAGTGGTAACAACACACTTTGGCTGGGGGAAGAAAAAGGCGGCATTAGAGTACATGGCTCTCGGCTCCTACTGGGGACTAGCCCAACTGGGTTCAGACACAGAACAGCCTTTCCTCCTCCTCTTAGTATCTGCTTTGTCCTATCAAAGGAAGGTTGGTGAAAAACCAAAATGAAACATTTCTAAGATGCAAGTTTTAGGTCTTCCTCCCCATATCCATCTAGGTACTGACTGTCAGGGTTTTATGATTTTGTTTTTCAGGTTTTTTGTTTTTTGTTTTTTTTTTGAGACAGGGCCTCCCTTTGTCACCCAGGCTGGAGTGCAGTGGCACGATCTTGGCTTCAACCTCCTAGGCTCAGGTGATCCTCCCACTTCAGCCTTCCTGAGTAGCTGGGACTACAGGTGCCTGCCACCATGCCCAGCTAATTTTTTTTTTTTTTGTATTTTCAGAGCAGATGGAGTTTCACCATATTGCCCAGGTTCATCTCGAACTCCTGGGCTCAAGCAATCCACCCACCTCGGCTTCCAAAGTACTGGAATTACAAGCACGAGCCACCACAACTGGCCTTGTTTTTCAGTTTTGATAAACACCTGAGTCATCTAAATTGGTTTGGGGACACTTAACTGTTTTAAGGATTACTGAACCTTAGTTTAGCCCTACCCTTTTGCCCTTCCCACCAACCAGACCTAAAATCTGTCTCCAACTGTAACCTATTGGGACCAGTAATCTCTGACTCACATAAGGAAATGTGGCGCAGGCTCCCCTATGTTGTTTTACAAAACATGCCAACCGAGGTCCTTCTTCACTTTGGAGGTGCCCATTTCGGATCTCAGAGATTCATGCAGTCAGCCTGAGCTCCACATACCAATCTTCCAAGTAGAAGGGAGCTGTACCTTCTACCCCACTTTCTGCACTCAGAGAGTACTTCTATGCCCTCCCCACAGAAGGGAACTTCCTTCCTCCCCACGCTGCTACTACTACTTTTTTTTTTTTAACCTGATTTTGGACTTTTTTTTTCTTCTAAGCTAAACATCTTTCAGTACAGGTAAGAAGGCTGGCATCACATCTGGGAAATGCCTTAACAGATATCTGAGGAGTTACTGCACATTAAGTTGGTAACAACACACTTCGGTTTCAATGCGTACATAATCTCCCCTTGATGCTCTTCAATAGAGATGAGGTTCTTGTCTATAGATCAAATAAATCACAGTATTAGGAAAAAACATAACAGCAAATTTGGAAGTATAATCAATTTAAGAAGAAGCAAAGGAAAAGACTTAGTAATGGGGCATTATTGTCTACACCTAGAGGATACATTATCTGAAAGCTTAAGAAAGCCCTTATCTTAGGAACCTGAAGCTGAGGATAATCTCAAGTTCACTTAGTGCCAGTCACTTTAGTTTTTAAAAAAATTTAACTTAAACCCCAGCCTAGGCAACATGGCGAAACCCAATCTCTACTAAAAATACAAAAATTAGCCAGGCAGGGTGGTGTGCACCTACAGCCCCAGCTAGTTGTGAGGCTGAGGTGGAGGATTGCTTGAACCTGGGAGGCAGGGGTTGTAGTGAGCCAAGAATGCACCACTGCACTCCAGCCTGGGTAACAGAGCAAGACTCTGAAAAAAAAAAAAAAAAATTAACTCCTCTTATTGTGTCTTTTTCCTTGTAAGACATTAACTAAAAGTTACTGGTAGTAAATGGTGACCGTTTTACAATTGGGTTTCATTACTGACAAAGTCAAAACAAGCAGTAGGCCGAGCGCGGTGGCTCAAGCCTGTAATCCCAGCACTTTGAGAGGCCGAACGGGCGGATCACGAGGTCAGGAGATCCAGACCATCCTGGCTAACACGGTGAAACCCCTGTCTCTACAAAAAAAAAAAAATACAAAAAAGTAGCCGGGCGAGGTGGCGGGCGCCTGTAGTCCCAGCTACTCGGGAGGCTGAGGCAGGAGAATGGCGTAAACCCGGCTGAGATCCCGCCACTGCACTCCAGCCTGGGCGACAGAGCAAAACTCTGTCTCTGTCTCAAAAAAAACAAAACAAAACAAAAAAAACAAGCAGTAATCTTTAAGAGTTCAAATTAGTGTAAGATAGGAAGGACTACAAAACAATCTGATTTTTCAGTTGTAATTAAAGTGCTCCTTTTCTTATTTTAAGTAAAATAAAATTAATAATCAGTCACTGGCAACAATCATTATTAAGAGGTCTTTTAGGGCAAAATTTAATAGTACAAAGAGGTTTACAAAAATAGATCGATGTTATTTTGAGGAATACTGTAATTTTTTTATCAATTGTTTTGATAAATTATACCTAATCATAGAAAAATGATCCCAATTCGAACTTGATATAAAAAAAAAAGGAGAGATGAAATTAACTCAGCTAGGTAACAGATCTGGCAAAATATAAGAATGAAAAAAATTGTACACAGGGCACTTATTTCATATCCAGAGGTAAAAACATTTTCAATTAGTAGCCTATCTTCTTCCTGTAAGCAATCACAGATTCTAAGTTGATCATGCAGTACAAAGCCACAGCAGTCAAAACCTTCTGTTTGATGCAACACACAAAATTGTTTGTTTCCTTATTAAAATGCGAACTGGTTGTCTATTTTTCTTTATCCCATTTATTCGTATTCACAAATTAACAAATAGCGTCAACAATTATTGTAGGTGAAGTGGGGTATTGCTGGATCAAAGGCTCTCTAAGACGTCTTTACTGACTGAATCTGAAGGTTTATTGAGTTCAAACCTCACACCTTTTTCACCTGTTAGATATTTTACTTTAGCTCGTGCTTTCTCATGTGCATCAAAATACCAGTTATTGCGTACCTTGTACTTCATGAGGTCTGCGACAGTCAGACCAGAAAAACAGCAGTCTATCAAAGTTGGGTTCAATGTCAGCAAACTAGGCTTTGCCTCCGTGACCGAGGACACCCTCGCTGCCCTGGCACACGAACTTGTACTTCTTCCAGTCCTGAGGCTGGTGCTCCTTGCAGCAGTAGGAAGGGCGGCTGTAGAGCAGCAGGTTCTCCATCTTCCCCCACAGCTCGCAGTACTGCCAGTCTCACTCGCTGGGCTCGCGGGCCCGCCGCTGTCACTGGTCATGGCGAAGGCAGCTGAGCAGGAGAGGTGGCGGCCCGACGGCCTCGTCCGACGCTGGGGAGCGGGGAGAGAGATAGGGGCCGTTACTGCGCCATGTACCTGCTTCCCTTGTCTCAGGGAGGCCGGCACCCAGCGCCCTCGGCCCAGCCGCTTCCGAGTCCTAGGCTCCTGCGCAGCGCCGGCGGCCGCCTCAGCGCCTCATCGCCGCCGTGGGTTGAGAGAACGCGGCCTGTGCGGCGAACCGCAACCTGGGCTTGGGCGCGCGGGCCTGGGGTGTGCAAGACTGGTCCCCTCGGCCGCCTCAGCGTCCCAGGCGGTCGGGCCCAGGCTGTGGAGGAGTGCAGGGCAAGCAAGCGCAGCTCGCTCCACGCATTCTGCGCGTACACACCATGGCCCCGCTGCGATCAGGGCGTGCGGCGCACGTGGGCCAACACTGCTACTTCTTTTTTTTTGAGACGGAGTCTTGCTCTGTCGCCCAGGCTGGAGTGCAGTGACCGGATCTCGGCTCACTGCAAGCTCCGCCTCCCGGGTTCATGCCATTCTCCTGCCTCAGCCTCCCGAGTAGCTGGGACTACAGGCGCCCGCCACCTCGCCCGGCTAGTTTTTTGTATTTTTTTTAGTAGAGACGGGGTTTCACCGTGTTAGCCAGGATGGTCTCGATCTCCTGACCTCGTGATCCACCCGTCTCGGCCTCTCAAAGTGCTGGGATTACAGGCTTGAGCCACCGCGCCCGGCCAACACTGCTACTTCTTACCACCCTTGTGGACGGGCTGGAGTTCTACTTTGGGGCTGTGCTTCAACTGTTCCTCTGGTTCTGGCTGTGAACTTCTTCACTATTGTCTGAAACAGGCAGTTCTGTCTGTGCTTGCTTCGGAGGGATGTTTAGAGAACTCAGTACTGATCCTGAGGGCTCCTTCTCCTTTGAGAGCACATCCTGTCCCTCCTCAAGGGGTAGAAGTGGTCAAAATTCTGTAGGGACTAAAACTTAAACATCCCAAACATAAAAAAAACAGAGGAAAGGCTGGGTGTAGTGGCTCATGCCTGTAATCCCAACACTTTGGGAGGCCAAGGCGGGTGGATCACAAGGTCAGGAGTTTGAGGCCAGCCTGGCCAATATAGTGAAACCCTGTCTCTACAAAAATACAAAAATTAGCCGGGCATGGTGGTGGGCGCCTGTAGTCCCAACTACTCGGGAGGCTGTGGCAGGAGAATGGTGTGAACCCAGGAGGTGGAGGTTGCAGTGACCCGAGATCACACCATTGCACTCCAGCCTGGGTGACAGACCGAGACTCCATCTCCAAAAAAAAAAAAAGCAGAGGAAAAAGCCAGTCTTATGCAAAAGCCTGCAACAGCAGTAAAGAGGGTAGACATGTGGAAGGCTTTATGGAGATAAAGCCATGGACCACCGCATCCTGGCCACCCAGCTCTCTGGGGACTGCTCCTACCTGCCTTGCCAACCCCTAGGCAAAAAAACATAGGATAATTCAGGTGTTTTGCAATAGGCTCAATACTGTCGATAAAGGCCACTGAAGCTGCTTGCCTCTAGCTGGCTGCTGCAGAATGAGAGCTGTTCTCCAAAAAGAGATCCCTGTCATATGTGCTCCTCCTTGATCAGAGTGAGGCTCATGCCATTTTAAGCAATTTTCTTATTTAATGGCAGGGACGGACACTCAGAGCAGCCAGTGTTGTGCATTCTCTGAAGAGTCAGCCTCAACTTAGAAGGAAAGTTGCAGCTACCATGACCACGAAATAAGCAAATTCCAGTTTAACACAAATAGTGAAGTACTACACATCGCCCACACTGCTAGCAACCCAAGGCAGCTCTGTCTCTCACATACCTCTATTTTAACTGCTCAGAACTATGTTTTTATATTTCACCTCCAGCCTCTGTCTTCCAGGTTCTTTCTGCAAGTCTTTCACCAGGGCCACTGCCTCCTCTCCACTCTCTGGATGCTGCTGTGGGACCCAGATCTGGATCTCCTGGGGAAAGACAGTCAGGAACTGTTCTAGGACCAGCAACTCCAGGATCTGCTCTTTTGTACACTTCTCTAGCCTTAGCCACTGACAACAGAGCTTCCGGAGCTGGAGGAGGGCCTCTCGGGGTCCTGATGCTTCTTGGTAATGGAAATGCCAAAAGCTCTGGCAGGATGTCTCCGGTCCAGAGTAATTCCCTTGAAGGGAAATTTCCTGCTCCCAGTGGGAATCTTCTTCCAGTTTAACTGTTTGGAGATCTTGTACTGAAGGAGTCTGGATTTGTTGGTCCACAGCTACAGCCATTGTTCAGGTCAGAGAAGAGCCTTGCAACTGCACTCTGAAGCTCAAACATCTTCTATCACCTCACTGGGAAACCATCTCAGAACTCCCACTTAGAAGCCACTAAATGGAACTTCTCTTGAAATTCTAGAGTCAAGAGACATACATTACAAAGTGAACTCTAGTAAAAATCTCAAGTGTTAGCCCAGCAGGCTTGAGGTGAAGAGAGTCTTCCTGTCCCCGCCCTGCTGCATGCCCTGGTGCCTGTGGAGTCACTGGTGGGGTGGCAGTTCCCCAAGTTTGATAAGAGGAGTCAAGGGCTAGTGATCTGGTTGAAAAGTAGAGGAGCTTGAAGCTGTGTTTGCATAGCAATTAATTTAAAGCTGAGAAAACGCCAATTATCCACTGACGAATGTGGGTGGGCTGACGGAGATTATATATGCGACAATAAACTGCCCACCCTCCCAAGCCACTGGTCTTCAGAACTACAGGGTGTTGCATAGCAAATGTCTAGTACCAGTCAGACTCACACAGGTAGTCGCACCTTGAAGAGCAGCTTCGGGGTGGAGCCGTCTCTAAATGTCAGAGATTCAAATACTCCAACCGCTCAACTACCCTCGCCTCTGGCTGGATTCTCAGCCTTGGGCGCACCGTTCAGGATTTCCCAGCGCTGGCATCCTAATTCTAGCCCAGACAGGGACATTTACCCTGGTTAAGGTTGCAAGCTTTAAGAGAAAGGATAATAAAAATAGACTCACGGGATGGTAGAGTTGGAGAGTTAAGAGATACTCTGGCTTGAACTCCCTTAAGAGCTGAGGCAATCATGGCTTAGAGACCTCAAGGGACTTGTTCAAGGTCACGTAGCTGGTTTAAGGCAGGCAAATGAACAGTGGCTCAATCCTTCGACTGCAGACTGGGTGGCTTACACTGGAAGGTTACTCTGCTCCGCGGGCGACTTTCTCTGCAATCTTTATAGGGCAAACGCGGGCCCCGCGGCCAGGGGCGCCTCGGCGGCTACAGGGCCAGCGTCGTCCCTCCAGGCTCAGCGGGCAGCGGGAATAGGGCGCCACCAGCACAAGGGGCGTATGCTGCCTCCGGGTCAGATCGCGGGGACTCGGGGCCAGGGCTGGAGGCCGCTGGACCCTGGCTCGAGGCCCAGGCCCGAGGTGAGAGCTACTCCCGCCCGCCGAGGCCCTAAGAATACGGACGACTCGGCCCCCGTGACATGTTCTCCGCGGGGACGCAACGTTCCCACACGACACTAGAAGCCCGAGTACGGGCCCTAAACACGGCTATTGGGATAACCACTGAGCAGCGGAAGCGGAAACACTCCGTGTTCTCCGGAACTACATTTCTCAGAGGCCGCCGTCCGAAGACAAACAGCAGCATTAACCAATAAAATGTGAGGATACCTCAGGCGCCTATTCGTTTCAGACGAATCATTGATGATAGGTGGGACTTTTCTACAAGCCGGATAAGTGGGGCGGAGTCGCGAACCGCAGCCACAACTCGAGCAGCTGGGGAGGGTCTGGGTCCTGCCTTCCAGGGGCAGTGGAGACCTCTCGCCCTGCGCGGCCCTGGTGGTAATGAGCGAGAGGGCTCTTTACAAAGTTTTTTGTTTTGTTTTGTTTTTTATTTTTTGAGACGGAGTCTCGCTCTGTCGCCCAGGCTAGAGTGCAGTGGCGCGATCTCGGCTCGCTGCAACCTCCGCCTCCCGGGTTCAAGCAATTCTCTGCCTCAGCCTCTTGAGTAGCTGGGATTACAAGGCGCCCGCCACCACTCCCGGCTTTTGTGTTTTTAGTAGAGATGGGGTTGCACTGTTTTGGCCGGGCTGGCCTTAAGCTCCTGACCTCGTGACCCACCCGCCTTGGCCTCCCAAAGTGCTGGAATTACAGGCGTGAGACCCCGCGCCCGGCCCTTCTTTTGTTTTTAATGGAGACGAGGTCTATGTTGCCCAGGCTGGTTTTGAACTCCTGGGCCTCCCAAAGTGCTGGGATTATAGGCATGAGCTGCCACGCCGGTTTATAAAGTATTTTCACTTAGGGCCGAGGGCAGCTGTTTAACCATGTTAGTCCCTATTTGTCCCTACTATAGAGATGAATAAATCGAGACAGCTTGGGACTAAGGATGCCCCTATGAAGCTGGGACTCCAGTTAAGGTTTTCTGCCACTTAAAGCGCTTTTCTCTGGCATGGTTGGTAGCTGTGGTAATGCTTTACCACTCTGTTCCTCCCCATCACCTACCACACACACAATTCCTCATCTCCTGCTTGCACGGTCCTGGGTCATTCAAGATTCATACCATTGACTCTCATTCAACAGGTGGGGAGCAATTTGGGCAAAGCACCAGGCCGTGAGTGTGCTGTCGTGGGAGAAAAAAAAAGGAGACACTCCTTCCTCTTAAGGAATGCAATCCAGCGGTGGGTGCATTTTCTAAAACGCTGCCACCGAGTTATGTGCAACCCAAATAACTCCAATGCAGTGCTATTAACAAATGCTTCGCTAAATGCTACGTGCTAAATGGAGGTGTGTTCAAAGGAAATGACTTGATAGAAATACCAAGGACGCACCAGGTGCAGTGGCTCATGCCTGTAATCCGGGCACTTTGGGAGGCCAAGGCGGGCGGGTCACTTGAGGTCAGGAGTTTGAGACCAGCCTGGCCAACATGGTGAAACCCCAAATCTAGTAAAAATACAAAAAAATTAGCCTGGTGTAGTGGTGGGCGCCTATAATCCCAGCTACTCAGGAGGCTGAAGCAGGAGAACCGCTTGAACCGGGGAGGCAGAGATTGCAGTGAGCTGAAATCATGCCACTGCACTCCAGCCTGGGTGACAGAGGGAGACTGTTCCAAACAAAAAGAAAAAAGAAAACAACAACAACAACAACAACAAAAAAAAAAAAAAAAACAAGGAAGGGCTGGGAGAGCCCAGAATGGTGCAGCCTCAGGGAAAGGACCTACTTTACACATTTTATTGGGTTTGGTTCTGAGAAGGAATCCTGGAACCCTGCATTGTAGGTTTCACTTCCTGTTTAACAGATGAAAAGTCCAAATTGAGTGAAGGTGTGTGCTTGTCCTCACAGTAGGAGCAGCCTGTGGTTAGGTAAGGGAAGGTTAGGATGACAGGAAGGGCTTTCCAGAAAATCAGTTGCAAAGCTGGGCCATGGAAATTCCTTCTATCCCTCTTAACTTAGCGTCAACAAAAAGTCTCAGTGCAGACAAACCCACTGAGCTTAATTTGGGAGAAAAAGCCATGGAGAAGATCCTTTAGAATGTACTTCCGAACTACATACCAAATGGGGTGCCTGCAAGGGGGTCGTTCTCCTTGTCTTCAGAAAAAGGGAATTGAGAAGAACATTTAGAATGAACCTCCGAACTACAATTAGGATCCTAAACATCTTCCTAGGAGAAAAAAAAAAAGCAACAGCTCACAATAAATCAAGGACCATCAACCAAACGAGAGGTCCAGGGCTCAGGAGGACTTACTAGGAGGAGAAGCTGAAAGTTGGTGAGGCATTTATTTATTTATTTGTTTATGAGACAGGGTCTCTCTCTGTTGCCCAGGCTGGAGGACAGTGGCCTGATCATCGCTCACTGCAGCCCTGGCTTCCCTGGACTCAGGCAATCTTCCTGCCCCAACCTCCGAAGAGCTGGGACTACAGGCCCCCACCACCACGCCAGGCTAATTTTTGTATTTTTGTAGAGATGAGGTTTTCCCATGTTGCCAAGGCTGGTCTTGAACACCTGGGCTCAAGTGATCTGCAGGGAGGGCTTTCAAGGACCCCTGTTGGTACCTTAGCTCCAAGTTCAGGCAACTCCTTCAGGGTTCTGGGTTCTCTCTGAGGCCTCGTGTGTTCAGTTGTCAAATTATTGTCAATGAAGAATCAAACTGTAAAATATTTCAAGAGATTTATTCTGAGCCAAATATGAGTGACCAATGACCCAAGACAGCATCAGTAGATCTTGAGAGCATGTGCCTGAGGTGGCAGGGCTCCAACTTGGTTTTAAACATTTTAGGGAGACAAAATAAGGTATTAATCAGTGGCTGGGCATGATGGCTCATGCCTGTAATCCTAGCACTTTGGGAGGCCAAGGCAAGTGGATTGCTTGAGCTCAGGCATTTGAGACCAGCCTGGCCAACATGGTGAAACTCCATCTCTTAAAGAAAAGAAAAAAAAAAATAGGAAAAAAAGACATCAGTCAATACATGTAAGATGTACATTGGTTCAGTCTGGAAAGGCAGGACAACTGGAAGCCAGGGCTTTCAGGTCATAGAGTCAAAGATTTTCTGATTAGCAATTGGTTGAGTTATTTAAAGACCTGGAATCATTAAAAAGAAAAAAAAGGCCGGGCGTGGTGGCTTACACCTGTAATCCCAGCACTTTGGGAAGCTGAGGCAGGCAGATCACCTGAGGTCAGGAGTTTGAGACCAGCCTGACAAATATGGTGAAACCCTGTCTCTACTAAAAATATTTTTAAAAAAATAGCTGGGCTTGGTGATGCATGCGTGTAATTCCAGCAACTCCAGGAGGCTGAGGCAGGAAAATCATTTGAACCCGAGACGCAGAGATTGCAGTAAGCCGAGATTGCACCACTGCACTCCAGCCTGGGCGACAAAGCGAGACTCCATCTCAAAAAAAAAAAAGGACCTGGAATCATTAAAAAGGAATGTCTGGATTAAGATAAGGGGTTGTGAAGGCCAAGTAGCAGGCTTCAGAGGTCTTATCAGACCAAAAATAGGTGCCAGACTCTTAAGTTATTTCTCTCCTGGATCAGGGAAGGTAATTGGAAAGGAATGGGAATTCTCTACAGAATGTAGATTTTCCCCACAAGGGACAGCTTTGCAGAGGCATTTAAAAATGTGTCAAGGAAATCTAATTTTTTGTTTTGTTTTGTTTTGAGACAGAGTCTTGCTCTGTCACCCAGTCTGGAGTCCAGTGGTGCAATCTCAGATTACTGTAACCTCTGCCTCCTGGGTTCAAGCAATTCTCCTGCCTCAGCCTCCCTAGTAACTGGGGTTACAGGTGCATGCCACCATGTGGGCTAATTTTTTTTTTTTTTTGTATTTTTAGTAGAAACAGGGTTTCCCCATGTTGGTCAGGCTGGTCTCAAACTCCTGACCTCAGGTGATCTGCCTGCTTCGATCTCTCAAAGTGCTGGGATTACAGGTGTGAGCTACCATGCCTGGCAGTCACGGAAATCTAATTTGGAGTAAAATTCTTCAATTTCTTTCAGGGCCTGCTATGTGTCATGTGATGTTATACCAGAGTCAGCCTGGAATTTGGTGTCTTATTGCTACAAAGAATCCACCTTGTCAGTCTTAAGATCTGTTTTAATGTGAATGCTGGTCAGCTGTGCCTGAATTACAGCAGGGAGGGGGGTATAAGGAGGCATGTCCGACCTCTCTTCCCATCATGGCCTGAACTAGCTTTTCGGATTAACTTTGGAATGCCCTTAGCTGATGAGAGGGGGTTCATCAATCGGTTGGGGGACTTCAAATTTTATTTTTGGTTTAGATTAGGAACAGGAATTCTGAGAAGGCTAACGTGGAAACTCAGGCCAGCACTCTTGGCCTGCACACACATCTGCCTTTTTTTTTTTTTTTTTTTTTTTTTGAGATGGAGTCTTACTCTGTCACCCTGGCTGGAGTGCAGTGGTGCAGTCTCAGCTCACCACAACCTTCGCCTCCTGGGTTCAAGTGATTCTCCTGCCTCAGCCTCCCGAGTAGCCGGGATTACAGGCGCGCACCATCACACCTGGCTAATTTTTGTATTTTTAGTAGAGATGAGGTTTCACCATGTTGGCCAAGGTAGTCTCAACCTCGTGATCTGCCCATCTCAGCCTCCCAAAGTACTGGGATTACAGGTGTAAGCCACCACGCCGGGTCCACATCTACCTTTCAAACCATCCCCTGGACCAGTCTAGAAATTCCAGAGCTATGTCAGGGACTGGGGATAAGGGACAAAGGCCCAACCCAGGAGAGGGCCTTGGGTTCCCACCTTCCAGTCACCAGGGCAGCTCTGCTTTTACACGTTTTACATCACCTGTGAGCTATGAGGGACTCGGGCAAAGTATTTCATTGGCATGAGATCCTCCTCCCAGCAATTCCCCCACAGCTGCCTCTGGGCCTGTGAATGAATGGAAAAGTCTCAGAGTTTCGTCACCAGGAAGAGTGAGCAGGAGGGGGTCAAGAGGCAAATGGGCCATGGAGCCACTTGCTCAGAAACCAGAAGCATGAGTTCAACAGCACCAACAAAGGGGTGGAAAGTCAAAGGGAATTAACCACAGGCCCTTCCTCTCCACCAGGCTCTAAAACCTTCTGCTTTCAAAAATCTCATCATCACCCACACAATTCCACTTCCATTTCCCCTATGACCGTGGGATATTTTATCAAGAGGGTGAAAAAAGTAAAAGTACAAAAGTGAGTATTTTGTCCAAAGATCTGAAATAGCTTAACAGGGCCAGGGAGCAGGGAGGCTAGAACGGCCCTCCATTTGACAATCTCCAAGGCCGTCTGTGAGAGACTATGGATACAGCAAGCCCAGGACATGGGGTCACTGCTGAACTTTCTGTTTACGAGACAGGACCCCCTTCAGGGATAAAGGCCAGGAAAGACGATAACAAGTCACACACAAGGA